AACCCAATGTTTATTCTTATTGCCGATTTTACTATTTATGGAATGACTAGGAAATATCACATGACAAAACAATTTTTGATTGGAAATTTTTTCCCAAAATTCGTCGTAGTGGCGCAGTAAGTTGCAGGATTAGATGTCCTGCACTGTATAAGGGATAGATTTATTCAAATAGAAAAATCACATGTGCATGAAGAATCTTCACACCAATCACTTTTGCATAAAAATTTAAGTCATTTAGTATTCACAATATAAAAATAAGGGCAAGTATATGCATAGAATTGATGAAGACTTTATAACTATTATAAATAAAAACACGCAAGAAGTGAAGGCAATATTTGATTATAAAGAGGTGTGTGGATATCTAAAGGCTAAGAATATATATTCAGATGTTCTTGCAATTAATTTGCTATTTTTTCAAATGTATGTAAATCTCAACCAGCTGGGTCAGTTTATTGATAGAAAAAAAATAAAGTATATGAAAATACATAACGATTAGTTTCATTTGGAATGCTTGGGTTTTCTTTTTTGTGATTTATGAGTAGATGGGGAAGCAATTGTTGATTCTGTTGATGTTTGTGATGACATTATTGATATATCTGAAGATGCTGAAATTATTGATGACATTTCATCTGAATTGTTAGTAGTATATAAAATTTCCATATGGTACACGCAATTGCAGTTCTAAAAGTTAATAATGTATGGATGAGATGGTAAAGATTTTCCGATACTTACTTTTAATTTATCCATCAAACATACGGAATAGGTGTAACATACTAATACCGAAAGGATACGTTTTGGATTCTGCATAAAACATAACGTCAATATGGAATGACTCCTTTCTGTATTAGTGTTAGTATGCTTTACATTGTTTTTGTGCATACGTATTTTTAAACAGGGTGGTGGCAGGACATCAAAATATATATATTTAGAGGTAAGATGACTTTGTAATGTTTTACTAATAGCTTTACGCAAGGGTTTTTTACAAAATCGCTACACAAAGTTGGTACCTTACATCAGATAATCGGAAAATTAACCTTCTGGCCTTTATCATCATGTGATTTTAGGCTAACCCAGTTTTCAACGTAAAAATATTCTTTGCTAATTTTTTGTAATTAAAATACACAATATAAATCGTCCTTTGTCCTTTGTCTGCTTTATATCCAGAACCTTGAACATGACGGTCAAGATAATATTCCTTCTATTTCCGGTTGAGTTTAATTTTTTTACCGCAAATGCATACTACTTTCTTAGGATGTATAACACAAGCGACATATTTGTGCTTGAAAGCCTTTCAAAAATATGTTTCCGACCTGGATTTTTTGGATAAGCAAGTGAGAGAAAATTTTTTTAACACTAATGCGAAATATTATTGATCAGCCATAAAAATACGAAATACGACAACTTGACTTTAGATAAAATTACAAAAAGACATTAAATCATTTTAAGAAATACATCGAGATTGAACGTTGCATAGGATTGATTTTGTTGTTCTCTTATGTTAATTAAATTATCTTCTACTTTGCCTTTACCTTATTAACATCATATTATATTATTTCTAACTTTCTTTTTGAAAAAAGGTATAAAATAATTAAGAAAGCAAAAATCTTTTGAAGGAGAGAAAAATAGCTTATTAATTATTTTCAATACACAATTTTTTAAATTTGATGAGCAGGATTGCGGATTAATTAAGACTTTGATGACTTCAAAAAAATAAATTACTTTACATAATAAAACGTGAGTTGCTCATAGAGGTATTGGTAAAAGGATACATATTTATTTAAAAGAAACACAAATGTATTAAGGCAAAAAACATCAAAATTCGATCAAGTGTCAGTCAATATAAATAAATTTATATTACAAAAGCTACTCTGTAAAATGAAATAAGAAGTTGATATATGTATTATACCATGCTTTGTATATAATAGACAAAAATCAATGTTGCTGACATAATTTTTTGCGGATATTCAGAAGTTTCACAGAAAATTCATATAAAAATGAATGAAGGTATTTTTTTCTCAGAAGATAACTATTTTAAAAATATGTAGTAATAGTAAAAGGACTTTATTATTGTAATTTAATATTGTTTTACAATAAAGTAATTAGCTAAATTCTATAAAGGTAAATATTTCACAAAATAAATTTATTATGGCATCAACTTATTATTATTAAATATTTTTTATTCTTAGGAAGTAAGTATTATATTATAAATTAACTTTTACAACACAAAATAAACTTTATTAAAGCATTATCTAATTAAATAAATTTATTTTTTATTTCATAGAGGGGAAGTATTGTATTATAAATGGAGGCATTCAATTATATTTGTGGGATGATAGAATTAGATGTCTTGGTGTAAACAAATTTCCAACTAAATTTAGAATCATAAACTACAACTCATTTTTTTACATTTACAGAAAGCATATGTAAGTGGCACAAATAGTAGTTTTGAAAGGTTGAAACACGATGTACATAAAGTATGTGTTTGTTTTGTTAGAATGTCTTGGTTTAAAATCCGTTATTTGTATTAATACATGAGTATTCAGCTTGCAGTGATGACCTCGGGAGATGATAAAATTATGTGGGGGGCTATAGAGAGGGAATTGCTTAAAATAAAAGTGGAGGATCTTGGGTATGACCACCCTCTGTGTTCTGGAATACTAGATGATTGCTTAACCCCTTTCACTGAAATGTCAGAAGAACTTCACAAAATCTTCAAAGTATCAAGTGAGAAATTTCTACTTCCTGTTTATGAACCATTGAAGTGTGTTTGTGTGAATTTTCTTGAGAAGGAAAGAAAAAAGATTTTGACAAAGTCCTTGGAGAGGTTTGGAGATGCATCATTTGGTGAATTCTTAGATTGGCCTGAGGAGATAGAAGAGTTAGCAAATCAGATGTAGGAGTATTGTATGTCCTTCTACTATAGGGTTATGTGTATTAACAAGCTGAAAAAATATTATTAATCTATCTAAATTCTTCAAGTGCTACAGTTTGGAGATCCCCAAAATGGAGATCTTTCATGGAAATGAAGGAACCAGCTATAAATGAGGGATCTTATGTATGTGAAGTGTTATCACTATTGTTGAACATTGCAATGAGAGATCTACCAGTGGATATTGATATATGGGGCATTTGGTTGGTGCAATTTCAATTCTTATTTTTTACAAGTTCAAGTTACGAGATCTATTAACATGAATTTATTGAACATTAAGGATACTGGCTGCAACTTTTGATGATGGTTGCTACCATCTTTGCGTCATATAAAAATGATTGCAACCACTGGTTGCAACCACCTTTACAACCATTTTGTTTCCTTTTTTGGATTGTGACATGGAACACTAATAAACATGATAAATCGAACTTCCATCATGCTCTAAATTTGTGCATGTGATAAATTTTAAAAACTTAAAATTTGCTGCATTCCTTTGTATCACTTGATGGATTTTGCTGTCATCCACTGCAGTCAGGATTATTACCAAATTTGGAAATCGAATCTAGAAAAATTGGAACTCCTTTGTCAATCAATTCATATGTGTGGTGAACAAGTTAACATGATACTTTGCTGCCTTTTGAAAATCTTTTTTTTTAAAATTATAATAATAATAATTGAAATAAACAGTATTGAACTTGCTATTTCATAATCTACAAAAAACTTATTAATTTGTTCAAAGTAAGCCTTTACATAAATTTAAAGAAATTTAAGTGGCAGGAATTTAAATTAAGTTTTTTTTTCTCTTTGAACTTTAGTGGTAAAACATCAAGATCAATTGCACTTGCTGCACTGAGAAATATTCAGAGAATCATTTGAGATAAATATGTTAAATGCAATAGGGA